AATGAAGGTTAATATTTGACCGAATTATTTAAACACATGTGGTGATAAATATGTGACAATTGTAAAGTTTTCCATTATATGAATATTGAGCCGATACCAAGATAGACTTGATGCTTGATCGAATTTATTGTCAATATTTGATTACTACATCAAAAGTGTTTCTGTCCAAAGATTAAATATCAATGTTGTGCTCGATCTCTTGTGATGAGATTCACCATTATTTGAAATTATTGATTGTCCAATATGGATTCCTATATGAACATGTAAATTAGGTTTAAATTCTCTATTCAGCTAATCCATCAACTTCTGCAATATCAGCCAACATCAATTTAATTCATGTGCTAGAACCAAAGTTTAAGGGCTATAAAGAGAACGTTTATATCGTTCTTGGCGACATGGATCTAGACATTGCATTTAGTAGTCAACAACTCACTACTCTTACGGATAAAAGTCCCACTAATAAAAATGGGACTCAAATAAGTGGGGATCATTCAAATCGCATAAGTCTTATGATCATGAAACATGAAAGTCCAGCAGCATTCAGGGACGTTATGTCCGATAATATTTTTTTTAAAAAAAAAAAAGCTTTGCAAAAGACAATAAGGTCGAAACTAGCACGTTTTTAGCAAACTTAGTTTCACTAAAGTTTAAGGGTAAAGAAAACATAAAAGAGTACATCATGGAAATGTCTCATCTTACTTCAAAATTAAAAGCATTAAATGTTAAGTTGTCTGATGACTTGCTTGTGCAATTAGTTTTGATTTCTATTCTTCCACAATTCGTCTAATTTAAAGTCAGTTACATCTGTTAAAAGATAAAGTGAACTCTTAATGAGCTCATTCCATATCGTGTATAAGAAAAAAAAAAGGTTAAAGTAAGATAAAATTGATATTACTCACTTGACAAAGAATTAGAAAGCTGCATATGGTTCGGTTCAAAATAAACAGCGAAAGTCCGAAAAAGATAAATCTGGCTATTACTTTTGTGAAAATTTGGAATACATAAAGAAAAACTGTACTAAATACCACGCTTGGTGTGTAAAGAAAAGTACACTTCTCACGTTGATTTTTTTTTTAGGTTAATTTAGTTTCAATACTTAAACATACTTAGTGGATATAATTCTGGTGCCACCACCCACATAAGTGTGTCTATGCGAGGTTTCCTGAACAGCCAAAAGTCAATTGATGCTGAAAGATTTATCTATGTAGGGCAATGACAAATCAGTTAAGCTTGAGGCTAAATGGACTTTTAGGTTATTATTAAAGACTGATTATGATTTAAGAGCCTGTTTGGTACAGATTCTCATTTTCTATAGTAAATCAATTCTCATTTTCAACCACACATTTTTCAATAAAATAATATTTTCAATCACATCAATACTTTTTTCTTATTTTCAACCAAACATTTTCCATCATATCACTATTCAAAAATCAATTCTTCCCCCAAAATCCCTACCAAACACACTCTAAATATGAAAGAGATATTTGCGGTACCGTCTTTTAGATAGAATTTGGTTCTATTTATATATTGGACAAATTCGGTTACTCTTGTTCAATTGAAAA